TCTATAAAGTCTTATGTATGATGTAATACTTTCTTCCACTCCATGCTTTTCTTTCTCACTTTCTTAATGGTTTATTTGATGAATAAAAGTCCTTAATTTTAATATAATCCAATCTAATAAATTTTTCCTCTAGTAATACTACTATATGTGTCCTGTTAAAGACATATTCCTTACTCTAAAGAGATGAAGTCTTCTTATAGTATCTTCTAGAAGCTACTTGTTTTGCCTTTACATTTAGGTCTGCAGTTCACATATAATTGATTTTTCTGGGGTGTCAGGTAGAGGTCAGAATTAATTACTTTCCATGTAGGCATACAGTTATTCAAGGGCAATTTTTGTAAACTGTCCTCATTGCTCTGCAGTATTACCTTTGTCATAAAACAAGTATCCACATATGTATGGGTCCATTTCTTTTTTCTGCATTTTATTCCATTGGTCTAGTTTTCTATCCCTGCCTGAATATCTATACTAACTCAATTATAGTTGATTTAAAAATTCATGATATTTAGTAGAGCAAGTCCTACAACATGATTCTTTTTGAAGTGTATCTGGAGTGTTCTTAGCCCTTTGCATTTCCACATACATCTTAGAATTGGCTTGTCAATTCCTGCAAATAACAGTTGGTTAGGGTTTTTACTGATATTTCTTTGAATCTATGAATCAGTTTGGGGACAGTTTATATCGTCACAATTTTGTGTTTTCAAGCCTAAGAACAGGGACTACTTTTCCATTCATTTAGATCTCATTTAATATCTTTTAGAAATTCTTTAGTATTATTTTATTTTCCCAATTGTGTTGATACATTGTGTAAGTTTAAGGCATATAACATGTTAGTTTTATACACTTACATATTGCAAAATTATTACCACCATTGCGTTAGCTAGCACCTTCATCATGTTACATAATTACCATTTCTTTTTTTGTGGTAAGAGCATTTAAGATCTACTGGCTTAGCAAAGGGGATTTCAAGTATGTAATACAGTATTACTAACTATAATCACCATGCTGTATATGAAACCCCCAGAATTTATTCATTTTATAACTGGGTTCTTGTACACTTTGACCAACATCTCCCCATTTCCCCCACCTCCTAGCCTCTGGTAACCATCACTGCCTGTTTCTATGAGTTCTTTTTTTTTTAGATCCTACATTTAAGTGAGATCATACAGTATTTGTCTTTCTCTGCTTGACTTATTTCACTTAGCATAATGCCTTCAAGGCCCATCCATGTTATTACAAGGCAGGATCAAAAAAAAAGGGGCACAAATGAACTTATCTACAAAACAGAAACAGGCTCACAAACATAGAGAACAAACTTATGGTTATCAAGGGGTAAAGGAAGGGGAAAGGATACACTGGTAATTCTAAATTTGTACCTCTTGAGGAGTGACGGAAATGTTAACTATCTTGATTGTGACAGCGGTTTCATGGGTGTATACATCTATCAAAATTCATCAAACTGTACATCTGAAATATGTGTAGTTTCCTATAGAGGAATCATACCACAATAAAAGTATTTAAAAACAAAACAAAACAAAAAAGGCAGGATTTCCTTCTTTCTGGTGGCTAATATTTGTTATCTTCTCTATCCACTCATCCATTGATGGACACATAGGTCATTTCCATATCTTGGCTCTTTTGAGTAATGCTGCAATGAACATGGGAATGCAGATCTCTTTGAGATTCTGTTTTCATTTCATTTGGATATATACCCAGAAATGGGATTGCTGGACATATGGTAGTGCTATTATTAATTTCTTGAGGAAACTTCATACTGTTTTCTGCAGTGGCTCTACCAATTTACATTCTCATCAACAGTGCACAAATGGTTCTTTTTTCTCTACATCCTCACCAGCATTTGTTACCTCTTTTTGATGATAGTTTCTAATAGGTGTGAGGTGTGGTATAGCTCACTTTTGTTTCCCTGATGATCAATGATGTTGAGCACTTTTTCATGTATCTGTTAGTCATTTGCATGTCTTCTTTGGAAAAATGTTGATTCAGTTCCAATGCCCACGTTTTAATTGGAATTTCAGTTCTTTATATATTTTGGATAGTAACCCCTTATTAGATGGTTTGATAATATTTTCTCTGTAAGGTTCATCTTGTTGATTTTTTTTCCTTTTGCTGTGCAGAGGCTTTTTACTTTGATGTAGTCCCAATAGGTCATTTTTGCTTTTGTTGCTTGTGCTTTTGTTATTCTATTCAAAAAAATTGTTGCCAAGACCAACATGAAGGAGTTTTCCCCTGTGATTTCTTCTAGAATTTTATGGTTCAGTTTTTATGTTTGTCTTTAATCCTTTTTCAGTTAATTTTTGTGAGTAGTATAAGGATCCAATTTTATTCTTTTGCATGTGGTTATCCAGTTTGCCCAACACCATTTGTTGAAGAGGCCATCCTTTCCTCATTGAATGTTCTTGAATCCTTTGTCTAGTTGCTCAGGGTTTAAATTTAGGTTGTTTATTTGAGAATTTTTTCCTTTTTTAAAACTTTTTTTATTCAGTTATACTCATTTTACAATGTTGTGTCAAATTCCAGTGTAGAGCACAATTTTTCAGTTATGCTTGAGCATACATATATTCATTGTCACTTTTTTTTCACCGTGATCTACCACAAGATCTTGTATATATTTCCCTGTGCTATACAGTATAATCTTGCTTATCTATTCTGCATATGCCTGTCAGTATCTACAAATCTTTAACTCCCAGTCTGTCCCTTCCCACCCCCTCCCCCTTGGCAACCACAAGTTTGTATTCTATGTCTATGAGTCTGTGTCTGTTTCTGTTTTGTATTTATGTTTTTTGTTGTTGTTGTTCTTTTTTTTTTTTGATTCCACATACGAGCGAACTCATATGATATTTTTCTTTCTCTTTCTGGCTTACTTCACTTAGAATGACATTCTCCAGGAGCATCCATATTGCTGCAAATGGCGTTATGTTGTCGTTTTTTATGGCTGAATAGTATTCCATTGTATAAATAGGCCACTTCTTCTTTATCCAGTCATCTGTTGATGGACATTTAAGCTATTTACATGTCTTGGCTATTGTAAATAGTGCTGCTATAAACATTGGGTGCAGGTATCTTTTTGAAGTAGGGTTCCTTCTGGATATATGCCCAGGAGTAGGATTCCTGGGTCATATGGTAAGTCTATTCCTAGTCTTTTGAGGAATCTCCATACAGTTTTCCACAGAGGCTGCACCAAACTGCATTCCCACCAGCAGTGTAGGAGGATTCCCTTTTCTCCACAGCCTCTCCAGCATTTGTCATTTGTGGACTTTTGAATGATGGCCATTCTGACTGGTGTGAGGTGGTACCTCTTGCAGTTCTGATTTGCATTTCTCTGATAATTAGTGATATTGAGCATTTTTCCATATGCTTATTAATCATTTGTATTTCTTCCTTGGAAAATTGTTTGTTTAGGTCTTCTGCCCATTTTTGAATTGTGGAGAATTTTTTCTTAATGTAGGCATTTATTGCTGTAAATGTCTCTCTTAGAACTGCTTTTGCAGCATCCTATAAGTTTTGATTTGTTCTGTTTCCATTTGATTTGTCTCAATATATTTTTTGATTTTGCTTTTGATTTCTTCTTCAATTCTCAGGAATGTTTCATTTCCAAGTATTTGTGATTTTTCCAGTTTTCCTCCTCTTATTGATTTCAAGTTTCATACCACTGTGTTTGGAGAAGGTATTTGGTATGATTTCAATCTTAAATTTTCTAAGACTTGTTTTGTGACCTATTATATGATCTATGCTGGAGAATGTTCTGGGTGTACTAGAGAAGAATGTATTCTGCTGCTGTTGGATGAACTGTTCTGTATATGTCTGTTAGGTCACTTGATGTAAAATATGGTTCAAGTCTAATCCTTCCCTGTTGATTTTCTGTCTGAATGATCTATCCAATGTTGAATATGGTATACTGAATTTTCTACTATTACCGTATTGTCTGTTTCTCCCTTCGGATCCATTAATATTATGCATTTGAAGAAACAGTCACCACTTCTAAACTTTATAGAGTGATTTTGGTAAAGGAAGACTTTTATCTGCGGGTTGGGGCACACTGGGGTGTGCTGTGACCCAGGCTTTAGAGGCACGTAATGCCAAGTGCAGAGGCATGTGGTGGTACGTGGTCCAGGGGTGCAATTATGCACCCAGTTTCTTTAGCTCAGGCCACTAGGTTCCATAGCATCAACAACTGTATGGTCTTTGATGAGCATTGTGGGAATCCTCAGTGACTGTAAGGGCTACTAGGTCCTCAGTGGCACTTCCAGGTCCAGCACCAGGGACCATAGCAGGCAGTGGTAGTGGCCAGAGATGGTGGTGTGCACACAGTTGGCTGTGGAGACCAGTTATAGGTGTATATGTAGTGGTGGGGGTCTGCTGCAGACACACACATAGTGGTAGAGACTAAGGCAGGCAGCAAGGACTGGGGCCAACTGTGGGTTCACTGGTAGCTGCAGTGGCTCTGGCTGTCAGTATGCTTTTCTGTGGCTGATTAATCTGCCTCCCCACCATCACCACTGTACCCTTGGTGAGCAGTGCAGGTGCAAAGCTGGAGGCGCTGGCTATAGGTGAACACAATGGTGCAGGACAGTGACAGAAGTTAGGGCCTGATCTGGGCTCAGAGCAGCTGCGGGGGCCTGTCTTTCAGTGGGCTCTTCTAAGGCTGTGCAGTCTCCCTTCCTACTCCTGGCCTGTGCACTGCAGTGGAGGCTGGTGGCAGACGTTGGGCCAGTGTGTGCAATTGCTTAGCCTCACACATGACAGTGGGAGTCGCTGGTGTCTAGGCTGATGTCTTGCACTCATGCAGAGGCCTGGGATGCTACTGGTGTGGTTCCCAGGCTCCAGTGGGTGCCCAGGGTAGAGAGTGGGCTGGGGAGTCAGGCAACCAGCTTCGGCGAACACGAATAGCTGTGGTTCAAAGCTGCTATCTGCGGGGAGTCTGCAGCCACTGTGCTGGCCGTCGGTTCCTTCTTCAGTGGCTAAAGCTGTTGTGTTTGCAGAGCAGTCATTGTGAACTGCAGGAGCTCCTGCTGCAAGACTGCCACTGGTAGCCCCTGTTTTTTTCCTAACAATCTCTCTGTGCCTCAGTTTTGCTCTTTTGAGTGCGGTAAAACTAAAACAGGAACTTCATTTGCTGCCCCATGAGGCTGGAAAAGCTGGTCATTCGCCCTGCTCTTCCTTTCCTGGTGAGAGGAGCTCTTTCTAGCTGGGAAATTCCCTCTTGCCGCTGCACAAAGCTGTCTAGGAGGGTGGGACGATGCACACAGAATGAATCTATTTTCCTTCCCTTCTTGTGTGGTTATTCTCGGGTGTCTTTGATTCCTTGTGTTGCTAAAATTTCTTAAGTGGGCTCCAGAGCTCTCCCACAAGTGTTGTTGTTTGTGGATGGCTAACTGCTGATCTTTTTGGGGGACAGAGGCTGGGGTCTCCAACTTTGCCATTTTGGTGACTTCACCTCAGAAATACTTCAGCTTTATGGATAGTATTCTTTAATATGTTTTTGTAAAACATGTTACAAAACATGTTTTATTCCTATGTTTTTTATTTTTTTGATGATTTTATAAAGTTATTTAAAAATTTAATTTTTCTTAGTGTTTGTTGCTGGTGCATATAATTACTTTTTATATATTGATGCTGAATTCAGTTACTTTGCTATATTCACAATTAACAATCTATCTGTAGCTTATTTGAATGCTCTAGAAACACATCATGTTATCTTCAAATAATAAAATTTTTATTTCTCCTTTTCCTAATTAATAAATTTCATTTTATTTATTTATTTTTGCCTCATTGCATTGTCTAAGATCTAAGTACAATGTTCATCAGAAGTGATGAGAATAGCATTATTGTTTTGTTTCTAATCTCAGAGGGAAGGCATTTGGGATTTCATCATTAAGTAAGATATTTGCTGTAACTTTGACACACTTTATCACATTCAGAAAATTCTCTTCTATTCCCAGTTTGCTGAGAATGTTTTATATGTGTTGTTAAAGTAAATGCAATGCTTTGTTTCTGTTTATTGTGATGATTATATAATATTTTCCTTGTTAATAATAATTAGTTGATTTAAAAATTATTGTTTTAGCAGCACTAACCATTAAACTTTGGTGTTATCTATTTTATATATTGCTTGATTTGTTCTTTTCAGATTTGTGCTTTTATGTTTAAGTTAATACTGATTTGTAATTTTTCTTTCTTACAATGTCTTTATTAAGTTTTGATATCAAGAATATATGAGCCTCAAATGAGTTGAAAATTATTTTCTTTACTTTCTGGAAAAAGTGTGTGTAAATATGGCAACTTTCTTTCCTTATATTTAAATTTAAATTTACCTGCAAAAATACCTTCTTCTGGAAATGATTTAAGTTATAGACTAAAATTTTTAAAGAGCTACAGGAATCTTCAGAGTTTTATATTCTGGATAAGATTTTTCCCCCTAGGAGTTTGTTCACTTTATCAAAATTTTCAATTATTAGTATAAAGTTTTAAAAATATCTTATTTTATTGTATTTTTAATATGTGTGGGATACAGGGCAATGTTCCCATTTTTGTTCTTAGTATTGGTTATATGTGATTTCTAGTTTTGTCTTAGTCTTTAAGACTTCTCTTTTTGAAAACAGCTTTATTGAGGCAGAATTCACATACCATAAAATTCACATGCCACAAAATTGCAAAATGTACAATTCAGTGATTTTTAGTATATTCACAGAGTTGTGCATCCATCACTGCTATCTAATTTCAGAATATTTTCATTTCCAAATCAATTCCTACTAATGTACCCATTAGCAGACTCTCCATTTTCTCCTACCCCAGCCCGAAACAATCACTAATCTACTTTCCATCCCTATGAGTTTGCTTATTCTAAACATTTCACTTAAATGGAATCATGCTGGGCTCCTTCACTTAACATACTATTTTCAAGGTTTATTCATGTTGCGGCATGTATCAGTACTTCATTTGATTTTACTGCCGAATAATAGAGATGATCCTCGACTTATAATGGTTTAATTTATGATTTTTCAACTTTACAATGTTGCAAAAGTGGTGTGCATTCAGTAGAAACCATACTTCAGATTTTGAATTTTGATCTTTTCCCGGGGCTAGGGACATGCAGTGAATATTCTCTCAAAATGCTGGGAGGGAGCAGCAAGCTGCAGCCCCCAGTCAGCCACATGATCAAACTAATGCACTTACAACCATTCTGTTTTTCACTTTCAGTACAGTATTTGGTAAGTTACATGAGGTATTCAGTACTTTATCATAAAACAGGCTCCGTGTTAGATGATTTTGCCCAACTCTAAGCTAATGTGTTTTGAGCACCTTTAAAGTAGGCTAGGCTAAATTAGTAGATTAGTGTACTAAATGCATTTTCAACTTCTGATGGGTTTATTGGGAGGTAATCCCACTGTAAGTGGAGGAAGATCTATCCTCCATTATATGGATATTTCACATTTTGGTTTTCCATTCACCAGTTGAGCGATATTTGGGTTTGTTTTACACTCTTGACTATTGGGCTGCTATGAACATTCATACACAAGTACATATGTTTTCAGTTCATTTGTGTATATATCTAGGAGCAGAATGCCTGGGTCATATGGTAACTCTAGGTTACTTATAGGTTTAACATTTTGAAGAACCGTCAAATTGGTTTCCAAAGTGGATGCATCGTTTTACAATTCCATCTGCATTGTTTAATGGTCCCAGTTTCTCCATATAGTCACCAAACTGGTTATTGTCTATCTTTCTTGCTTTAGTCATCCTAGTGAGTGGGTGTGAAGTGGTATCTAATGATGGTTTTGATTTGCACTTCCCTAATAATTGGTGATGTATAATTATAATTATAATTATTATAATAATTGGTGAAGCATCTTTTCATGTGGTTATTGGTTATTTTTATATCTTCTTTGGAAAAATGTCTATTCAGATCATTATCCTTTTTTAATTGGGTTATGTGCCTTTTTATTATGGAATGTAAAAGTTTATTAAATATTCCAGTTACAAATCTGTTACCAGATATATGATTTACAAATATTCTGTCCTAGCATGTTGGTTGTTTTTTCACTTTCTTGATGGTGTACTTTAAATATAAACTTTCTTAATTGTGATGTTTCATTTATCTATATTTTCTTTAATCACTTGTGCTTTTGGTATTATGTATAAGAAACCACTATCTAATCCAAGGTCACAAAGATTTACTCTTATTTTTTTTCCTGGATGTTTTACAGTTTCAACTATTACATTTAGATCTGTAATCCATTTAGAGTTAATTTTTTTTGTACATAGGAAAATTTCTGTGACCCACTTTTTATGATGTATGCTTTATTGCAGTGGTCTGGAACCAAATCCATGATATCTCTGAGGTGTGCCTGTAAGTGGAATTACACACGGTATGTGACATTTTGAAACTGGATCCTTATACTCAGCATGTGTGCATTTATGTAGAAAATCTTAAGGAATCTACTAAACTGCTCCTAGCACTCGTGCGAATTTAGCAAAATTACAAGATACAAGTTCAACATAAAAAAATCAATCATATTTTTATATAGTAGCAATGAAATTTTTCTCAAGTCTTCATATGTCAAGTTTGGTTTTTTGTTTGTGCCCTTTTGTCAAGTAATTTGGATTGCATCACTGACATGGCATCATTTGACTGTTGTGTTATGAGAATCTGTATCTTGTTTGAATCATGTGGGGAATGTCGCTTTTTTGCTTGTTTTGGAAGGCTTGTTAGTTATATACTGTTACATAACAGACTACCCCCAAACCAGTAGCTTAATACAGCAAACATTTATGCTCTCACAATTTCTGGGGGTCAGAAATCTGGGGGCAACTTAGGTGAGTGGTTCTGGGTTCGGGACTCTCATGATGCTGCAGTCAAAGTGTTTGCCTGGGCTGGGGTCAACGGAGGCTTGATTGGCTCTTGAGGTGTCACCTCTGAGCTCACTCACGTGGATGCTGACGGGAGACTTCAGCTTCTTGGTCTCCAAGTGGCGGGGCTGCTCCTGCCATGGCTTCCCTTGGAGAGAGAGATCCAAGAGCAAGGGAACCCAAGACTGCAGTCACAATCTTTATAACCTCAAGAGAGGCAAATCATCACTTCTGCCACATTCTGTTGGTCACACAGACGAACCTTGGTACAGTGTGGGAGGGAACAACAGAAGGGTGTGACTATCAGGATCGAGGGACATTGGGAGCATCTCGGAAGCTGGCTACCACATTAAGCATTTAACCCAATTATGTTTAGGCTACAAGTTCCTAAATGCTTTCCGTGGATTGTGTTTCCAATTCAGTTCAATTTTCAAAGCCTCTGCAATGCTATTCAAATCCGTCCCATGTGTGCACCACTCAGTGAGCAATCTGGGGTCCTGGGCAGTGGTCTACCAAGCTTTGGTATACTGTTTAGGATCATTTCACACATCACGAGTGAGCCCATGATTTTGTCATCGCTATATGCGATCCGTTTTTGATCTTTCTCTTCTCTATCTCTCAACACTCTCTGGCACCCAAAGGCCTCTTTCTGGTCCTTTGGCTAGAAAGCAAGTATTTGATCTCTCAGCTCAGTCGCACACTTCCTGCAGCTGGGTCCACCTCCACATTCAAGCAGTGGGAAGATATACATAGAGAGGAGAAAACAATTGGGTTTCCCCCTTCCTGTTATGAACTACTCTTCCTCTTGCCAGAGGGAAGGAAAGTTCCTCCTCAGAGTTTTCAGTGCCTGCCTGGCCACTGAGGTCACTGTTTAAGCACTACCCAGCTGGCTTGGACTGTGGCTTGCTTGAGGTCTTCAGTGAGAAAAAGATAGAAAGGAGGTAGTAAGGTGGGGAGGGAGGCAGAGAGGGAGAAGGGAAGAAAACAAACCAGAGGATCTCCCCCGTTCTCTCCGGACTATTCAGGGCCCTCCTTTTCGCTCCTCAGACCGAAGAGAGCTCCCCTTGGAGCTCTCGTTCTCTGTGTCACGTCCAAAATTCTGGGATCTAGGTTGCTTTTCAGTCCAGGCTGGGCGATGAGGAAG